ATTTCCCTAGGTCATACAGGCAGAACATGAAGATAGAAAGGCCCTCTATTTTGTAGGAAATAATAATTGAAACTGCATTTATAAATTTATAGTCTTCAAATTCATAAAAAATATAAACATGTAAATGTCCCTTAAAAAGCTACATGTTCTTATATTTTAAAATTCCAATATTTTAAAAATTACTCACTTTTCAGAAGGCCAGATAAACCACATGGATGCCACAAGAAGGTTGGGGAAGTTTCCCATGTCAGCAGAGCCAGCAACCCATGCCAGGTGGTCCCACCCAATGTCTCCATAAACCCCACGTCCCTGTCACTGAAAGAACCACAGTTAAAAAACAGCTCTACCTTGCCTGAAATTAATGGGAAGCCTGATGTTGTTTCTGGAAGCAAACTGATATGCAAAACAAACATCGCTCCCCCTCCAAGCAACCCACCTGCTTTATTATGAGGTAGTCCTGGCTTTGTCCCTGGGTACCTTTTAGCATGTAATTTAATCTCTGTCAGCCTCCATTTCCTCACCTTTAAAATGCTGTGTGGCAGGGTAGTGGTGAAGATTAAATGAGATGCTCTATATAAAGTGCCAGGAATCTAGCAAATACGGTGCAGGAGTATACTTTCCCCCTTCCTCTGCCTGGCCATCTTCCTCTCAAGATCTGCCCTAAGGGTCAAGGCCTCTAAAACCTTCCCTGACCCTCCCAAGAGGGGTTAGTCTTCTTCTGGGGTCCTCTGCACCCCTCCCTCTCCAGTCCATGTTTCTCTCGTAGCTCTTAAAATATAAAAGGATTGCTGGCTACATTGCATGGCACTTCCCCTACATTTTGTGGGTCTCGAGGCCTGGGACAGTGTCTTAATCATCTCTTTGCCCCCAGCACCTGGCAAAGTATAAAACAATGTACAATTGTAACTGCAGAGCATTTCTGACAACACATGGTAACATCTCTGGAGACCTAATTTTAAATAATAATGCAAATGGGATTATATAAGGTTGTCATCTGTTCTCCCTTCTGACTGTGTGGCTCTTCTGAAAGCAAGAAGGCGCCTTCTATAATCTAGGCACTTACAGTAAGTACCTCTTAGAGATAAAAAGAATAACTATTTTAGCAAAATATTTTGCATTTACCGGGAAGTTATAAATAACAAAGCAATCTGACCTAGAAGATGAAGGCCTAGCCCTTGCCAAGGCAGTGGAGCACTGCCAGCTGCAGGCTTCCTGGCTGGTATTGAGAAATGGCAACAGGGAATGAAAGGAGCTTCTCATCACAGGAAGTGCTCAGGGAAGAGACAGAGCTGCAATTGTATCCAACCTTTTATCTAAAAAAAGTAACAGGAACAAAAGGAGAGCGATGTGGGAAAACCCATCAAGAGAGCCCTCCTATATTCAGGTATAACAACCGATGTTTATGCTCTATGCGGTGACTCTTGGTAACTATGGCAACCAGAATATAGGATATACTTGTTTTGTGCTGAATTTCTGCACTGTTTTTTTTATTATGGGTTCTAGGTAGGGAATTTTGGGTTAGGTATATTTTATGAAACATGCATTTGCAAAATTGCCCAGGACTTTGTCGACTATAAGGATTCAGGGAAATTAGTCTTCTGTACTCTTACTTGAAGCCAGTTATGTGATAGTTGGCCCATTGCAACAGCCACCTAACTGGTGTTCCTGCATCCATCATTGCTTCCCTCCCCATGCAACGCAATATAGCAGCCAGAGTGATCCTTCCTAAAAGGCACTCAAATCTCTTCACCACAAACTCCCCAGCTTCAGTGGCTTCCCATTATGCTTTAAAAAAAATCCAAAGTCCTTATCATGACCTACAAGGGCCCTCATGATGGCTTCTTTGACTTTCTTTCTCATCTTTCTCCCCCTTGCTTAGTGCACCTCAGCTGTGGTGGACTCTTGCTGTACCTTGGCTGTGTCAGGTACTCTCCAATCTCAGGGCCTTTGCACTTGCTGTTTCTGTAAAAGTGATTGATTATTTATTTATTTATTATTTAGAGACAGAGTCTCACTCTGTTGCCCCAGCTAGAGTGCAGTGGCATCATCCTAGCTCACAGCAACCACAAACTCCTAGGCTCAAGTGATTCTCCTGCCTCAGCCTCCCCAGTAGCTGGGACGATAGGTATGCGCCACCATGCCCAGCTACTTTTTTCTATTTTTAGTAGAGATGGGGGTCTCGTTCTTGCTCAGGCTGGTCTTGAACTCCTGAGCTCAAGCCATCCTCCCGCCTCAGCCTCCCAAAGTGCTAGGATTATAGGCCTCAGCCACGGCGCCCCGCCTATAAAAGTGATTTTAAATTAAAGCCTCTTTACCCCACAAGCAATTTTAAAGAAAAACTCTTTCTTTTTAGGGGATAAGACACAGGATGTGAAAAAAATGATTATCTATAATTAGAAAATGTAATGCTGTCTCATTGACACAAAAGAAAAAAACCCATATTACTATTTTCCTATTTTCAGTTGCAAAACTGACACACACACACAAAAAAAACCTCACTGACACAATTGATACGAAATGGGGAAGACCACGCAGATTTTTATATCTTGGAGAGTAAGGGACTTTCTATTTCAAGTGCTTTTATTTATCTGCAAATTTAGTTTGCAAAATTCCAGTATAAAAACTACACACCACACATAGAACCCCAAAACCAAAACGCGGTGACTTAAATTAATCAAACTTGGTTTTCATGTGCTGTGCCCTTTCAAAACCACTGAATGGTTTTTAAGATCATTCTAAGTCATATGAAACCACACTTTGTGAAACTTTAAGTTTTAGATGACTTTGCAAATTACTCCTTAAAGCACTAACATGTTGTGTCACAATAAACAGCACTGAGAAGCCACAGGGAGAAAAGACATCAAAATAGAACTCGCACTTGATGGTCTCAAGCCAATTTCTTCAAAATCATCTGAAAACACAAATATATTTTAGTTTTATGCACCTTTTGGGGAATTCGGTCATGAGGCCAGTAAAATATATACATCTGGTTAGGCCTTCAGAGATCCAACAAAGGAAGTTAGGAGAGTTAGGAGAAAAGAACTGGTGAAAAAGTAAATGTGTAGGTTTGTGGATAACTCACAGGTAAATTTTTTTTTTTTTTTGAGACAGAGTCTCACTGTGTTCCCTGGGCTAGAGTGCCGTGGCGTCAGCCTAGCTCACGGCAACCTCAAACTCCTGGGCTCAAGCGATCCTTCTGCTTTAGCCTCCCGAGTAGCTGGGACTACAGGCATGCGCCACCATGCCCGGCTAATTTTTTCTATATATTTTTAGTTGTCCGATTAATTTCTTTCTATTTTTAGTAGAGACGGGGTCTCGCTCTTGCTCAGGCTGGTTTCGAACTCCTGAGCTCAAACAATCCGCCCGCCTCGGCCTCCCAGAGAGCTAGGATTACAGGCGTGAGCCACCGCGCCCGGCCTCACAGGTAAATTTTTTAAAACTATAAAAACAATAAACCTTCTATGATTTTTTAAAAGAAAAAATCAGACATAATTACATAAAAGGCTTGTGTTTAAACAAATATATAAATAGGTTAAACACTGCTTGCAAAGGCCTCAAAGAAGTAATTTCTTCTTCAATTCATTTATTAGATAAACATTGGTGGATTCAAAGGCTGAGGTGATGGACTTTCTCTGATTAACGCCCATTTTCAGATAAGCAGAATTTGAACTTCAGACCTAACACACATTCCCTTGAGAACATGAAGGTTCCTAACATTGGAAACTAAATGTCACAGTTAAAGGGTTTATATGCCCTGAAGAACTTTTGCAAAGAAAAAAACATACACAACTCCTTCAACTAAGCAAAAGGGCTCTAAACAAAATTCTAACTGTGGGATGAGGTACAGGGTAACTTTCATGGATGAAGTTTCCTCACCTGTAAAGTGAGGAAAGAGAGCGGAAAAGAATGAAACTCTACACAGTTTTAGAGCCCAAAGATACTATTCATTCAGTCCCCCATCTCCAGGAAGACATTTCTCAGAAGTCAATATTGAGCCAGTCTTGGACAGTGAATTTACAGGAAGAAAATCTGGGGTCCGTTTGAGTTATTTATGGTTGTGTAGCTTGGGCAAGTCACCGCACCTCTGTGGACCTATTTCCTCATTTGTGAAGTGTCCAGAATGACACTCTTTTCTTAGACCTGTAAAAAGGATCGAACGAGAGCCTATTTATGAGTAATTCTCAACTCTGGCTGCAGCTTAAAATAAAGTGAGGAATGAAAAAAGCAATGTTGCTGCCTGGGTCCTATCCCATAGGTTTTGACTGAATTGTTCTAAGGTGGGCCCTCAGCACCACTGGGTTTCAAAGTTCCCCAGATGAGTCTAATATGCAGCTACTGCTGAGAACCACAGGCCTATTGCTTAAGCAGCGCTTCTCAGACTATTCTGAAGGATCACTTGGGGATCCTGCCAAAATTCAGATCCAATTCAGTGGCGCGGGGCCTAAGAATCTGCATTTCTCAAGGCTCCCAGTTATGTTGAGCTGTTCTCAACCACACTCTTGAGTACAGCAAGATACTAAATTACCACAAAGTACTATGCAAATAGTTATCCACTCTCTCCCCAAACTATAACTTTTAGTGATGGTGGTGTGAGCGTCAGCGAATGACTTTCTTTCCTTCTTCTAAGATTAGTGCATGTAAGATTTTAAGAACAAGCACAGAAGGTTTATACAAATAAAAGGTATCACTTGGCTCTGTTCGGTGGCTCACGCCTGTAATCCTAACACTCTGGCAGGCCAAGGCAGGAGGATTGCTTGAGCTCAGGAGTTTGAGACCAGCCTGAGCAAGAGCGAGACCTCATCTCTACTAAAAATATAAAAAATTAGCTGGGCATGGAGGCACGTGCCTGTAGTCCCAGCTACTCAGGAGGTTGAGGCAGGAGAATCACTTGAGCCCAGGAGTTTGAGGTTGCTGTGAGCTAGGCTGACACCATGGCACTGTAGTCTGGACAACAGGACAAGACTGTCTCCAAAAAACAAAACAAACAAGAAAAAAATGTATCACTCAAAGCACACCCACTTGCTATGGTACCACTGTTTCCCACATTCATTACAAATTACATAGGTCATCATTTGTTCATCTGGGTTTGAATTCCGCACCCAACTTGGAAGAAAAAGTGTTCCTCTGGCGATTACAGTGACCTTGCAATTGCATTTCTCACAGCGCCTGCATTTTATTTTGTTTGTCTGTGTGCCATCCATCACTTGGGGAAGGTAATGTTCATGGATACAAGATTCCGTGTAGGAAGCTCTCAACTGCTTCAGTTCCTTGTTTGCCATCTCCATGACAGTCATTTCAGCAAACTCTCTTGGAGACATGGTCCCAGAGAGCAAGTTTTGTTGTAAATGAGAATTTCTGGGGTTCTTCAAATTGGCAACTTTGCTTCTGATACAAGTTTTATATTTTTTGATGTTCTTTGAATAAAGAGTAAAAACATGCTCTTCGATTTCTCTTGCAAAGTTTTGCCACAAATCATCTTTTGTATGGTCGGTGGAAGAACTAGTTAAAGCTGCATAAAGAAGCTCCATGCATTTAGTTCTCACGGGCGTTGTGGGATCCAGCAATTCACTTGATCCTTTGCCAGTGGATTTAGAGTCACCACCCCCAAAATGCTCTTCCTTAGGCTCCACTTGAATAGCACTATTTTCAGGCACAATAATTTTACTGAGTTTTGCAACCTCTTGGGACAATGGCACAGAATTAGAATTGCAGGCATCCAGTATCTCATCCTGACTTGGGTCATAAGAAAGTCCTGAATTTTCTTCTTTACTACTACTCGTAGGGAATAATTTAGGACTGTTCCTTGCTTTGAAGGGAGTATCTTTATAAAGAGCTTTCCACTTTGACAACAAACACTTGGCTTTCTTTTTCAAAGCCACTGAGGGGCAGTTTTTGAGGACTCTGTACACAGCTCTGACTACATCTGTCTCCTGGAGATGCTCCTTAGTCACATAAATCATTTCTAGCTCAGTAAGGTGGTTGCCAAGATCTTCAAAATTCCTTTTAGACATCAGTTGCTCAATAAGGGAAGCTCTGGCAGCTACCTGGCTCTTGTCAGACATATTTACAGCTGCAAAGAAAAATAGGTTTCAGTTTTCTTAAGCTTGCCTTTGCTAGTTGCAGCTTCTAGACAGTAAAATAGCACTTTCTGCCAGTTACCTACACGATGTTTTCTGAAGGAGTTATGCAATATAAATGTGTACGACATGTTAGAAAATGGAATCTGCAAGGTGGTATGGCTTAGTTTCAAGAGTCTTATTCTTAGTAGTTAAAAAAAAAGTGGCATTGCAAAGAGCTTCTACATAACATCTGCTTAAAAGAGGCTTGCTGGAGGATCTGCTATAGCTTTTCTGCCTCCAATTTTAAAATAAATGATCTTTCTAGAGCAAGATTAATCAATTCATTTGGGTGCAATTTGGTGATCCTGTTGGGGATGAAATTACACTGGTGTCAGCATCAATATAGTAATGCTGAGCAATGCTGGACTACATTTCCCCATATTCAGCTATATAACTGAACTACTTGCTGAGTTTATAATATAAAAGAATAAGAAACGGGACAAAAAAGGGTTTGCTAATGACTTAAGCAGTCTAAAGAAACTGTGAGACAGCACAGGTTGGGACCCAGCCAGAGTTAGGTCTGGTGGGTCTCCCAAAAGTCAGCAGGCCACTCTGTGATGCCATCTGAGTCTTCTGAACAAGGTAAACGTTCAGATTCAACAATTCAGATGATTTATGACTTTGGACTAACTAGATGCTACAGAGTTTGGTTTCATTAATTTTTAAAAAACTTTTAAGTATAAAAAGTTTCTCGATTATTATGTCTGTGTGAATCTCATCCTGGGAAGCAAATGTTTACTTTATGTAACAAGTCTATTTGTCTCTCACATAATGTATACAACCTTGCCTACATAATATCCTTGGATCTATATTTGTCTCTCTGGTCTAAATGTCTAAATGTGAACATAAGCATCTTGATGGCAGGGGCCCTGTCTTTTCAAAAATCCGTGGGCTCCGTTTTACAGCATTTCATATTAAATAATCATTGAACATACACAGGCTAACAACACTGAAGTGATTACAGAGAGAATTAATGCCATCTTCTTAGAAACCACCTGACAAGTGGCATAAAACGTAATGTCCTTTTACTCAGTAATTCTACTTCTATAAATTTACTTTAAGGAAATAAGAGATGTGGAGACTGTATATGTAAGAACTTTCTTCAAACTTAGAAGAAAATGGAAGGCCCCCAAACAGGACAATAGTTAAAAAAAAATATGGCACACTCCTGGTATGATACAATAATAAACCATTTAAAATCATGTTTTTAGAGAATATTTAACGACATGAGAAAATAGTCATAACATTAGGTGAAAACAAATCACAATGTAAAACTATATTAACAAAAGATTAAACATAATTAGCATATGATCCAGCAGATCTACCCGAGAGAAATGAAAACATATGTTCGCACAAAAACTTATACACAAATGTTCATAGCAGTATTATTCACTCATAATAGCCAAAAAGTAGAAAAATCCCAAATTTCCATCAACTCATGAATGGATAAATAAAATGTGATCTATCCATATAATAGAATATTATTCAGCCATAAAACGGAATGAAATCCTAATACATACTACAATATCAATGAACCTTGAAGACACTATGCTAAGTGAAAGAAGCCAGACATAAAAGACCCCATATTGTATGATTTCATTTATATAAAATATCCAGAATAGGCAATCTATAGACAGAAAACAGATTAGTGGCTGCCTAGGTTGGACTTCAGGGGGAAAGAACAATGGAGTGAAGGGAAAGGGGGAGTGGCTGCTAATGGGTGCAGAGTCCTTCTTGGGGGTTGGTGGCGAAATTCTTCTAAAGTTGATCGTGGTGGTTGATTGTGGTGATGGGTTGCGCAAATGTGAATATACTATTAATAAAAACCGCTGAATTCTACACTTTAAATACGTGAATTATACCTGAATAAAGCTATTATTGAAATCTGATCCAAATTTTGTTTTAAAATTCCTTGTGAAAAGGCTGAAAAGAGATACACAAAATTTTACAGTGGCATTTTCTGAATGGTATGATTTTACGAGATTCTTATTTGTTCTTTTACTCTTTTCTGGATTTTCTGTGATGAGCGTGTATTGTTCTCACAATCAGAAAAGTTATTAGTATAACAGAATTTCATGATAAACTATATGCATTTAAGATACATGCCTACTGAAAAATGGTATGGGAAACGGATCCTTCTACCTTCTTCCTACCTTTCCTCTGGAATGAGAGTATTATCTCTTAAAGGTGGCTACACTTTTAGATGAGCATTCATAATCTCCTCAGAAATTGCTGAATCTCAAACAGTTGCATCTCCCCTCAAACTGTATCTCAAAAGTACCCTTGGCCACAAACATGAGGTTCTCACTGGTGTTTCCCTGTGGGGATGACTCAAAGATGACCGAGTCTTGCATTTTTACTACCAGAAGGGACTAGAATATAGAAAATCTGGTTTTTGTTTGTTTGTTTGTTTGTTTTTAAAGCCAGTTTAACACTCACTCAGTGGGCCCATCAATTCAGGATCTTCAGTAATTAAGGATCTTAAGATAATTTTCCTAATTATTGAGAACCAGTACTTAAAGATAATTCTTTTCCTTTTCTTTAAAGACTGAAAATAATAAAAGAGGTCTTCCTAAGACTCAAAGGCTCAATGAAGAACAGGCGAGATAGCACAGAAAACTAAGAATTGCTGAACATTTTTCTCAGAATTGTCTATTTCAGATCTTGAGGAAGTCATACAGTTATGTCACAATAACAAAGTTTCAAGCTGCTCAATACACTTGAGCCCTCCCCCACTTGTTGGAAAATTTCTTAAAAAAGAAGAAACATTCATTCTGCCTGCATTCTCTATATATTACTACTGCAGAAATCAGGATTAAGGTTTGCCAGATGTCCAAAAGGTGGTTAATAAGAGGCCCAGAGTTAACAAAAAGGTTAAGCAATATTTGACTTAGGTCAAAATTTCTCAGCTGAGGGTCCGAGTTTCAAGGAGATTCTGAAGGGGAATTCTAACTGTAGCTTCAGGGTTTCAGTGGGGTGAGAGCAGCAGTTTGTACTGCCAGCAAAACTTTTTCCTCACTTGTGTAAATCTATAGAAGTTAAATGTATTCATGTGTAAACATCCAAAAAGCATGCTACCCTTCATTTCATGCTTTTATTTACTTTTTCATATTTGTTTTTAGATTTTTAATTTTAGTAAAACTTATGTTTTTTATAAAACAAAGTTTACTATCTTAACCATTTTAAGTGTACAGTTCAGTAGTGTTAAGAACATTCACATTGCTGTGTATCCATGTCCAGAACTTCTCCATCTTCTCAAACTCAAACTCTGTACCCACTAAACAACTCCCCATTTCTTTCTCTCCCCAACCCCTGGCAACCATCATTTCACTTTCTGTCTCCATGGATCAGACTATTCTAGGTACCTCACATAAGTGGAATCATACAGTTTTATCCTTTTGTGTCTGGTTTATTTCACTTAGCATAATGTCCTCAAGGTTTCTCCACGTTGTAGCATGTGTCAGCATTTCCTCTCTTTTTAAGGCTGAATAATATTCCATCGTCTGAATTTACCACATCTTGTTTATCTATTCATCTGTGGATGGATACCTGGGTTGCCTCCACCTTTTGGCTATTGTGAATAATACTGCTATGAACACAGGTATACAAATATTTCTTTGAGACCCTGCTTTCAATTTTTTTGAGTATATATCCAGAAGTGGAATTGCTGGATCATACAGTAATTCTATTTTTAATTTTTTGAGGAACCACCATACTGTTCTCCATTCTCCTTCATACGTAAATCCTGTCACCCTTTCTATTCCCCTGTAAGACAATCGTGGATATAAAGCATTTATTGCCCTAGGAGGGTACAATGCTGAAGCCACCGGGACACAAAATTTTGAGAATTGCCATAAAAAGACAAAAATAAGCTGTGTGTCCAGTTTAGAGTTCTACATATTCATTCCAAATATTTATTTTGAATGTAGTATGTGCTAGATACTGAGCCTAAAGAGACAGTCTCTGCCTTGAAGGAGCTGACAGCCTAGTAGAAAGAATACAGATAAGAAACCGGCCAATTACAACACAGGTGGTATTTCCACACAGACAGGCACCAGCTGCTAGGGCAAATGCACAGAAGGGCACCAAACCTTATCTGGGCTCTCCATCATCTGGCTAGCAACAATTGCTTTTTCCACTGTCTTCACTCTGATTTGTGGCACTTTGTTAGAAGGATCATCCTCTAATAGAGATCTCAGCAAGAGATTCCCTCATTTTCCTGCTTAAAGATCTTCAGAAGCTCCCCTCTGCTCTGAGGATGGAGTCCAAGCTCCTTGGCCAGTTGATGAGAAGCACCTCCCCGGCCTCCCCCTTGACTACTCTCAACCACAAGGACACAGCTCTGTGCCTTTGCTCCAGCAGCTCCCTAAGCCTGGCTGACCTCTCACCACTGGTGGTTCTCAACGCTGGCTGCATATTAGAATCATCTGGGGAAACTGAACAACAAAAAACAAAAACAAACAATGCCAGGGCCTCATCGCAGACAGAATGAATTAAAATCCCTGCAGGTAGGACCTGAGTATTGGTTCGGCTCTCCAGGTGATTCTGATTTAAACCACACACAGGCACCCCCGCCCTCCCCAGCAGTACCTCCCAGTGAGGCTGCCATCAGCCCCAAAGACAGCTCTCGTCCTGCTCCTGGACTGAATGCACAGAATCTCTCTGACTTTGGATTCTGCTACATGAGTCCTCTTAAATCAGAAAATATTAAAAACACCTGCTGTGTATAATGCCCCCAAGAACCTTTTCTACAAATGACAACTGGTGACTGTAATGTTTTAAGTGTCACGATGCATGCAATTCCCAATACTCCCTCCCTCACTTACCTTTTCACGGGAAGGTAACAGACATTCATTGAGCAACTGTCTGTGCCATGCAGACTCCTGTCACCTCAATCATCACAATGATCCCGAAATACAGATACAGCTTATCTTCACCTTACGGATGAAGAAACCTGTTAAAAACATCAAATAATTTGCACATTGTGTTTATTCACAGTGTTCATCACATTTAAAAACATTTTTATTATCTGCCTTCCCCACAAGATCATAAGAGTCAAATTTGTTTTTTTTTTTTTGAGACAGAGTCTCACTGTGTTGCCTGGGCTACAGTGCTGTGGCATCATCTTAGCTCACAGCAACCTCAAACTCCTGGGCTCAAGCGATCCTCCAGCCTCAGCCTCCCGAGTAGCTGGGACTACAGGCATGCGCCACCATGCCCGGCTAGTTTTTTCTATATATTTTTAGCTGGCCAATTAATTTCTTTCTATTTTTAGTAGAGACGGGGTCTCGCTCTTGCTCAGGCTGGTTTCGAACTCCTGAGCTCAAACAATCCGCCCGCCTCGGCCTCCCAGAGAGCTAGGATTACAGGCGTGAGCCACCACACTCAGCCCCAAATTTGTTTTAGTCACCTATACACACCTGGCATACACGTGGCCAATGCTTACTACTACTCAACAAGTTTTTGTTGTTAAATAAGTGAAAAGCACCCAGAGTACTCATTCTCCTGCGTGTGAGCTTCATTTCTTTTCACTACAGACCAGTTTCCTTGTACCCATTGCACCTGAGCACAGTGCCCCTTGGCTTCTTCCCTGGGAGACCAAGCCCACCTCCATTCTAGTTCAAAAAAATCATTCAAAAAATTCTAGCTCAAAAAAAACCCACAGTGGGCTAATCAAGTGGGTCTGGAGAGTCAAGCCATTTGGATAAGGAGGGTCGAGAAGGTATAGTTCCCAGAAGCAAGGGGTGTTGAGCAAGTTGGGTAAGCTTCCTGACCATTTTGTGCCTCGATTTCTTCATCTACGAAATGGGGGAAACCTAACATCCTAGGATTAATATGAGCATTGAGATAGTCTTTATAAAGTGCTTAGAACAATGCCTGCCATGCGGTAAGCCTGACTGACAATTATCTGGGTCTACAATTAAAAGGTTTAAAAATATCTACCAAACTACGCATTGTTCTAGAGCAAGGGGTCAGCAAACTTTTTCTGTCAAAGGTCAGACGGTACATATTTGAAGCTTTGCAGTCCATACGATCTTGGTAGGGATTACACAACTCTGCTGTTCTTGTAGCAGGAACAGCAGACACAGAAAATACATAAATAAATGGGCATGACTTTGTTCCAATGACACTTGTTTACAAAACCAGGCCGGCTGGGTTTGGCTGCAGGCAACAGTTTGTTGATCCCTTTCTAAAGCAGTGCTGGCCAACAGAAATAAAATGCAAGCTACAGATATAATTAAAAATTTTCTAGTAGCCACGTTAAAAAATAAAAACAGGTGAAATTATAATACATCTTATTTAACCCAGTGTATCCAAAATATTATCATTTCAACATGTAATTGATGTAAACAAATCAAAATATTTTGCATTCTCTTTTTCATATTCATTCTCCAAAATTCGCTGTTTTACGCTTACAGCACATCTCAGTTCGTACTAGCCACATTTCAAGAGCTCAAGCCTTGTATAACTAGTGGCTACCACAGTTCTAGAACATATGCTAATGTGAATGATGCCCAGATACACACCTATACTTTCAGCGTCTGAACACATATCAAAAAGTTTATACAGTGCCAGCAAGAACAGGCACTAATATTTGGATGTACATAAAAGCTTGTAAATATTAGGCAAGGTGCACACATCTGCACTAAAATTGCCTAAACCCTGAGAAGTATAGAAAGATCATGGCAAAAACTTCCAGAAGCTGGTAACAAATCAGTAGGAATCTAAATCTGTTTAGATCTTTACATCTCTTTAAAATCTAAAAAGAAATGTTAACTTTCTAGCCCTAACCCACGCACGACTCTCCAGCTTCACAGGGAGCCCCTTCCTCTAGGGAGAGAAACGATGCCAAATGTTGGCAGGGGAGTCGCAGTTTCTGAACAGCCACTCAGCACTGCGTTAGGACCCTTTCCCGTTAATGATGACCCCTAGTAAAGATGCAGCGAGCGGGAGGGACCAGCCCTTGGGCCCGGTCTGGCCCGGGTTTGGGTTCCGGTGGGTGGGGTCAAGCAACAAGCAAAGCCAGTTGCTAACCATCCCAGGGTGACAGCCCAGCACCCAGCACACACGTAGCGGCGGCCCCAAGGGTTCTCGCAACCTTGGCTGAAGGAGAGAAGGGGGAGGGGGCACCTTAGGGCCTACCCGGCTCCGGGCGCACCGGAGAGCCTCCGCGAGCGGGTGTGACCTCCCACCAGAAACAACAGCTCGCCCTCTGCCGGGCACAGGCCCGGACGAACCCGAAGCGCGGCTCAATGAGAAGCGCAGGCGGAGCCGGGGAGACGTCAGCGGCCCAAACGTCCACAGAAATCTTCCGGTCTCTGGGGCTGGGATGACGAAAGCTCAACCAATCCAAGCCCACGAACCAGCCCACGCGGTCCTGGGACCCAGCGCATGCGTGTTAGGGAAATGGCGCCTGCGCAGAGCAATCGGTGGCCGTGGGAGTTTCCCTACGGTTCCCTGGAGGAGGAGCTATACCCCGCCGCGGGCTTGAATTGAAAGAAATTTTATTAACGTTTTTTTTTCTCTTTTTTTTAGCAGCGACCTTTGTTAAACCTACTCTACAACTTACCCTTTCTGCTTCTAATCAAGGCAGTCAAGACAGTGCTCAGTTAGATGTTGCAGTAATTTAACACAGTAATTAATTCTACAAGTATTCATTTGCACCCTAGCATGCATCAATTGATTTGAAAGTAGTAAATGTTCATTAAGTGGTCATGTAGGGTCCAGTAAAACCACAGTGATGGTTGAACTAGAGAATGTGGCAGCCTCCTTTGCTGATCCCCTATTTTAAGGTAATCTGGGGAAAGGTTCAAGGAAGCAAAGTATCCAGTCCAATACTCTGGATTGGATACTGTCGGGAAGCAGGATGATTCTATGATTAAGTAACATAATAAATCTTACCTAGAAGGAGGCAAGACAAGACCAGTGACTCATTGGCCAGGATAGGGGATGTTTGGTCATTTTTGTGGTTTGGACAGTGTTTATATTTTTGTCAGCATTCCAACATGATTAAGAAGGAGTCTTATTTTTGGCTTGATCATCACATCAGAGAATGGCCATACCTGATGTTGGTGTTCTGTGAAATTATTTATGTTCCACAGAATACAAAGGCCCGGCTGTGAGTGCCCAACCAGCTCAGAGCTTCTGGAGTTGCTTTTGACTTTCTCTCTAGCCTTTAAGCTATCACAGGGCTAAAATGTTTGCGAGAGTAAATTTTAATGCAATGTTCACATAAGGATTATATCTTGTTAAAGAAAAAATTATTTAATGTCACATGTTAAAACATGGTAAGGAAGACTTTATGCAGGACCATTGAGACAGGTGCAGGGACCACTACAACAGGGTCTTCCAGTGAAAGACAGAGATTGTGCTCAACTTCTAATATAGCCTGGGAAAGTGGGAATTTATAGCCAAGGAGCAGGGTGGAAGTCAGTGGATAGAAAATTACTAAGAGGAAACATCAGGGGTAAGAGAGATTCTGGCTAAACCAGTCTAGCAGGATTCTTGCTATAGATAGGCGGAGTGATCAAATGTCGCCTGGGGGATGGTGGAGGATGAGGAACCTGGTCAGACACTGAGAGTGATCAGATACTGAGAGTGAGTGCTTCTTGCTACACTGACTTAGCAGGGCTCTTTGCTAAAACTGGATTTTACAAAGAAGTGCACAGATGGGCCTAAGAGAAGGCTCAGGAGCCTGACTAAAGTTTGGTCAAGCAAAGCATCTTTGTCAATCTTTTGCCTCTTAAAAGAAAAACTTTAGACAATTTAAATTAGAATTTATTGGAGCAAAGAATGATTCATGAATTAGGCAACATTCAGAACCAGAAGAGGTTCAGAGAGCTGCATGGAGAGTGAGTTTTTATAGACAGAGAAAGGAAGTACAATACAGAAATTGATTGATTGCAGCTCAGCCTTTGCTCTATTTGGACATGATCTGATCAGTTAGCAGCCTGTGATTGACTGAAGCTTGGCTGCGATTTGGCTGTTTATTATACTCTTAGGTTTAGTTTTCAGTTTATTCACATGTTAAGTTAGGCTGCAGTTCATTGCATAGGAACTCAAAATACAGAGACAGCCTTAGGTCAATGGCCTCTTGCTTATTAAATTTAATATGCCTTAATGATATTTCTCTTGTCTTCCTTTGTTAATTTTTTTGTTCATTTTCCGAGTACTCTTGCCTTTGGAAATACTCGTTTAAAAATATGAAGCACTATAGGCCTCCAGAACAACAATCTCTTGTTTTAAACAGTGACCTAGGAAGAATACTTTCTTTGTGATCAGATTTGTAGCATTCACTTCTTAAAATATCTAATATGTGTCAAAACAATCAAACTATGAAAGACTCAACCTGAAGGAGTTAGTTTAGAAGTTATTTCAGAAACTTTTGTCAGTAGAGCATTTAGGGTTTTTATAACCAATTTCTCATGAACTCTGTCCTGAAGAAAAAAAATAGAAGTTAGTCAAAAGTCTAAAAACAAAAACAAAAACAAAAACAACCCAAGCTTTTCTCTGGTGTGAAAAAGAAAACCATTATTTCAACTAAGAGGCAAGCTAATGCAGTCCTGCGTTGTCAACTATAGTAACCACATGTGGCTATTTAGACAAAATTTGAAATTCAGTTCCTCAGTTACGCTAGCCAAACGTCAAGTTCTCAATAGCCACCTGTGGCTAGTGAGTACCATACTGGATAGCACAGACACAGAACATGATCGTTGCTCCAGAAAGTCCTGTTGAACAGTCCTGGCTGAATTCATCTGGAATAAATCTACAATAGGGCTGCAATGGATTCTAAAAAGGTTGCTGAGAAGTTAGTTCTTTGGGGCAATTTTTAAGTAGAATAGCTAGAAAAGCACTCACTTCTATGATAATTTATCATATATAGTTTTCAAGCCTTTGTTTCAAAATCATC